GCTTTCAAACAGGCGCGCACGCACGCAGGATACTTTGGAGATTGGGCACTGAGCCTATCCTAAACATGTACTGCTGTATCCTGTAGGAATCAGAATTCTCACCACCAGGTAAGGTCCTTGTGTCTCCCTCAGTGGAGCACTCAGGTCTAGGATCCAAAAAAACTTCTCATGCTACTTCGCCTCCACGTATCCACGGACCATGCACGACTCAAGAAACTCATCCCAGGAGTATCAGTCAACAAGGGCCTGCGTTTGCCTGGTTTTTGCGGAGACATCCACACGTTGGAAAAAGAGTGCTCCAGAAAGAGAGCTCAGCTATTAGAGTGAGACGTCAGCGTCAAGTCAAGATGCTCTCATACCTGGACTATATAAACCGGTGGTCCCCAGGACGCAGTTTCAAGATGATGCTTATTGCTGCTCCATCATTCACTTTTCCGATTCATCAGCGCTTTTGACCTCTTTATCTTTCAAAGATTAAGCTTGGGTGCATTCTACTACTCACCACTTCACTTGATTGCGCACCAGGAAACTAGTCTGCTCCCTCCGTGTTCGACTCCCCTCATAACGGTTATAAAACATGGCTCCCAACCACCGAGCTTCGTCCACCGGCAGCTTCATTGAAAGCATTGTCGCAGCCCGCAAGGAACTGGACAATCTTGCTCTGAGCACTCCTGAATCCTCTCTGGATGGCTCCGCCGGCGGCTCTGCTGGATCATCAGCTCTGGGTAGCCCTGCCGGCGCGCTGTCACCAGTCACGCCCACAATCGACGCCCCTGTCGCTGACAGCTTTGCTTTCGCCTTCGACATCGACGGTGTCCTCATTAGAGGAGGTCGGGCAATCCCCGAAGCAGTTGAGGCGATGAAGGTGTTGAATGGCGACAACGAATACGGTATCCAGATGTGAGTTGTCACCCTGCCCACATCGCACGGCCCCACTTGTATCCGCCGCATCGTGGCTTTTCTGCTCGCCAATGATGGATGCTAACATGCACGTCTAACAGTCCGTACATCTTCCTCACCAATGGCGGTGGTAAGACGGAAGAAGAGAGATGTGGTGATCTGTCTAAGCAGATGCAGATCGACATTTCACCAGCGCAGTTTATCTGCGGCCACACTCCCATGAGGGAAATGGCCGAGCGCTTCAACACTGTCCTTGTTGTTGGCGGTGAGGGCGAAAAGTGCCGCGAAGTTGCAGAGGGCTATGGCTTCAAGGATGTCATTACACCCGGAGACATTATCAAGCACAACTCCGCAACAACCCCCTTCCGCAAGCTCACCCAGGACGAACTTACAAATTCTCGCGAAAGAGATTTCACGGATGTCACCATTGAAGCCATCTTTGTTTTCGCTGATTCCCGAGACTGGGCTGGCGACATTCAAATTATGCTCGATCTCGCCATGTCCAAGGGAGGCCGTCTCGGTACTCTGAGCGAAACTTTCGACGAGGGCCCACCGATCTACTTCTCTCACAACGATGTCGTCTGGTCTGCTGCCCACGATAATGTTCGTCTTGGCATGGGCGCTTTGCGCCGCATGTTGGAGGTCATTTTCCGTGACGTTACCAAGAAGAAGGGCAAATTGCACACCCACGCTTTCGGCAAGCCCCAGGTCAGTACCTTCGAGTTTGCAACGAGATTGCTACAGCAATGGCGGCGTCAGCAACACGGCTTGGACGCACCTCCCGACACCGTCTATTTTGTTGGGGATACACCGGAGAGTGATATTCGGGGCACCAACGCCTACGATGAGCATGCGGACAATGAGTGGCACAGCATCCTCGTCAAGACCGGTGTCTACCAAGATGGTACGGAGCCGGCTTACAAGCCCAAGGCGACTGTCGATAACGTTCTAGACGCTGTGCGCTACGGCATCCAGCGCGAGATTCGCAAGAGGGTTGTCACATCTCTGAGAAAGGACATTCTCGGTGAAGAGGAGTGTTTGAAGGCTCTTCAGTCGAAGGACAGCGCCGTTTTCACTCCTCTGGAGGAGCGTAACCAGCCAATTTTGGGCTAGCGTGGTCATGTGAACTTTGTGATCTAAGAGTTTGTTTGCTAGCGAGCCACTTCCTTCTTTTTCATAGTGTTGGGGTTAAGAGTTTAGTTCGGGGGAAAATTGTGATACCACAGGCGTTTTCCAATCAACGAGGTATATGACCGCAATCTAGAGTTGCGAGACTAGCTACAGCAGAATACACGATATACAGGCGCCATTTGACGCCGAGGGATTTGAAGCACTTGAACCTGTACCACCGTTATGACACACTCGGTTTGATTTTCGCGCCCAACACCTGGCAATTATCGCCAAGCTTCGAAATGCTTGTTTATGGCACGATTAAGGAGGTCCCTGAAGCTAACTCAACTCTTGGCCGGCTTCGTTACAATTTTTCACGCCGCTGCCGAACCATGTACATGGTGATTGATTGGCTTTGGAGGACTATGAAAGGTAATAAGACGGGACTGAGATGCCGAGAGGGATCTGGTCCTACCCGTTTGGGCTGATGCCTAGCCTGCGCATCTCCGTCATGCTGCGGCCTCGCGCGGCGCCGTGTTATTGTAATACATGCCAAGTCCGGCCGGTGTTGGCGTTGGTGCATTGTCCCCCCCCCCCCCCCCCCTTCGGCTACCTGGGCCGCCGATCCCTTTCCGCTCCGTGTTTTCCAAGTACACCAGCTCCGAGGTAACATGACTTGGAGTGCTGCAACGGCGGGTTGTTGTAGTAGGGTTTGTCTTCATATGCAAGTGGAACATGTGGGTATGGTGGGTTCAGAGATGTTGGTGAAGACACAGAAGGAGAGCATCCTGAGCATGTCCTTAAATGTGCAATGTAGCACGTAGTTGCAGATGTAGTTGCACTGGACATTACGAGAAGCATGCTCGCTCCACTAGCATCTCCTCTTTTGTCTCCTCCTCCGCATCCTCCACGGCCCCATCACTTTTAACTGTTTCCAGTCGTCATTGCATTGCTGTGGTGAGATTCGGGTGCATGAGGAACGGATTCCGTGAAGGTAAAGCTTCCCCACCTCGCAGAGGCAACCCACAGTGCCGCGTCAACGGCTTCTTGACGCCTTTGGCGATCGCTGATGGCCTCCTCTGCGCTGCACGCGATGGAGAACCCGGGAACGTTGGCGCGTTCGACATCCAGCCAGCCTCTCCAAGCGGCCACTATGTCGCCGGCTCCGATGGCTCCGATGACCACAGTCCCCCACAACTCGCGTGCGCCGCTATTGTGCTTGCCGTAGAATATCCATTGCTCGGCCGCAGCGACTTGCTCCCTAAGTTGGTCTGGGGAAATGCGCTTTGGATCGGCAGGGCCATTGGTGCTGCCGGTGATACCACGGCGCGCCGGACGTTGAACGTACACGTGACGGATGTCGTCGACACCGCAGCAGAGGCGTGTTACGTCAAAGCGGCCTTCTGTGTCGAAGATGAGAACCGTCTTGCAGTGGGGCGCGGAAACGAGGCCCGACACAAGCCGGTAGATGAGCGGGAGTTGACGGCCGGTGACGGCGAGAGGAATAGATTGTGTAGCACGAAAGTTCTTGACGGCGAACGCATTCAGGAGTGGGATGGGAAAAAAATTAGGTCGATTCTTCCTTTTCGTGGGGTTGACGGGCTTGTGTTCTGCGCTGAAGACGTCCAAGACCTATCGAAACAAAGTCAGCTGTATGACGATGACAAATGGCGAAAAACAGATCTGTTGTGACATGCTGAACGGAGCCTGGTGATGGTTTGATGCAAGTAGTCTGGGGGGTTGAGGTGTGTGAGTGGTGAGCTGTCTGGCTCCTCCACGGACCAAAAGTTTGCGTCGGCCGACCCCCCAAAACACCGACCCCATCCACCGTCCACCATCTACTCAACCTCACCAGTCCAGACTACTTATCGCCTCTCATCTTGTGGCACACCAACCTGTTCTAGCGTGGTCTCTTTGGCGTCGCCCAAGAGCCTCCTGCCCCTCATCGAGAGCCGCGAATACTTTTTCTTGTCCAGATATTTCTTCATCCTTGCGGTTGGTTTCGACGCCGCCTCTGCAGTCGAGATGACCCCGCCCTGCCTTGTTTTCGATGCGTCGGATTTGCCGCGACATGTGCAGGCGGACCTGAGAGGCAAAAAGCGCAAGCTTGAGAGGGGTGCTGATGTCGATTTGTCCAAATGCGCGTTGCGGGCGATGACGCAGTTTAGATGCACCGTCAAAAACCCCGACCGCAGAGACAGCCCCATTGGATGTTGGCCTATCATGCGGGTTTTCCGGCAGTAAGTCCGTTCCCAACTTTGTTCTACTTGGCGAATCTCATGCTGCACGAAATCGGCGATTTGATTCATTCCCATGGCATGCCTAAGATTACTGAACATTACCTTCCATAGATGCCAGGACAAGAAGGGTACATTTACTGTTGAAACCACAGCATGGGAAGGGCTGAATGCTGGTCCCAAAGATGGGCACGCCAATACATTGGGCTTGCGCAGTACAGACGTCCGCCAGGACCATGGCAGAGAGGGAAATGGCGACCAGCGGACGTATCATGAATGGCCAGAGTTGTGGGAGAAATAGAAATGTTCTGGTGCTGGATAAAGGCAGGCGATCCAAAAGCTACGAACAGAGTTCACGACCCCTTTAAGACATGAAGTAGATTGATGTGCAGTATAGAGAGACCCATCAGTTCCCTTGGGAGCTTTGTATGTTAGACGGACTTTTGAGTTTTTCGTCTTTTGAGGCACTGGTAACAGTATCATGTTCGCGACAAGCAGCACGTCTGACTAAGCGCCTCACACGCCTCGCAGCAATGATTTCTGCGCGTCACACCATTGAACCGTTGCCCTCGACGTAAGGATAGTTCTCGACTCGATTTGCTGGTGTGTATGGTACAATCGGGGTCGGTTGACCAGCTGATGAAGCCCGTATCTTGTCTATACCCACGAATGCTCTCTCAATCCCATCGCTAATCGAAGAAAGTGCCCTCGTTTTCTGCCGCCACCGCAGTCAATCGTCGTCGTTGTGGTCATTTACTGCTTCTGGCCACGAGCCTCGGCCTTCTGCTGCTCCAACTTGGCGTAATAGGCATCGCGAGCGTTCGTGCGAGGCATGTGGAAGCCGTACCTGACACACGGTTAGTTCGAGCATGTTTGCGTGAAGCATCGGGCGAATCTATTCCGGTGTTCGCATACCAGTAGACATTGGCCATAGCAAAGCCGAGACCTGCGAGGAAGTTAGGGTACTGGTCCGAAGGGTGGGTGAATGCTGGGTAGCGAGCGCATCGATGCATATCCCGAGGATGGCCCATGAAGGAGCGCAATGGGGCGGCGCAATTCCAGCTGCGGACCAAAAGAGGACTTCGGGGAGAACTCACCAAGAGCGATGCCAAGGTCGAGGACCAGGTTGCGTCGCAGCATCTGTTGTCCGCTGTTAGCCAACAACTGTTCATGCTCCGTAGGCCCGGCGACTGCGGCTCAAGGTGCTCAATTGATTCGGGAAACGTACGCCCGTGATGGGCTTGACAGCAGTAGTGCCGGCCATTGTGATGCGGAGTTGAGTGGGAGTTGTGAGTGTCGATTGAGCCGATATTTCGTGTATCCGAGGGTGATTTGGAGATGCTCAAGTCCTCGGGTAGCTCGAATGGTCTGATGAATTCGCGCGATGGAGTCATCACGTGATGTTAAATTCTCCCCATCCGTAGGTGACTTGTTCCTGACCTTCCCGCACTTCTCACATTACCTAAGCCAGGCAGGCCTGGGTCTCTGAATCCCCCTCCATCTGGTTGGCTGCTGTTTGGCGTCATCGTATCCTTACATAAGCGTCCGTTGCAGTGTTCCTGGCTCGGTGCAAACGGGTCAACTCCGGCTAAGGACTAAGGTAGATCCACAGAACGACGGCCCGCATTGGCCCGGGCGCAACTCTCTGCATATCAGATGTTCTGATCTAGCAATTTTCTGCAGGAACGGGAATGGCGACGTAGGATTGCTGGTTTATCGTCCAGCAGACACAACAGCAGCCATGAACATCCATCTCCCTGCGAGGAGATTAACCTCTTCCGGTCAGTTTCGAGGATTATGTTTCCCGTTCGTGAAGTTGCTACTTCGACATGGCATTGGCGGATCGACCAGCTAATCTCTATCGTCCATTAGCTTCTTCAACTCTTCAATCCATCGCACGACCAACGAGGCCTCTTATTCTTCCCTTGCGCCCGGCCACTCAAGTTCGATGCAAATGGGGCTTCTCTGGCATGTTCGGCCGCAAGAAGAGCAATCCTGTTGAGGATTCCTTCAGCGGTGGCCAGAACCTCAACGACCCCAAGATCCGTGAGCAATTCGCCAAGAAGCAGCAGGCTTCGCTTTCCAATTCCATTTTCGAAGAGGAAGTTGAGGATGCTGTCGCCGAGGGCGGAAAAACTGCCCCCGGGATGCAAAGCTCTGTGAAGACGGCAGAAACTATGTCGTACCGGGTTGACCCCGACCCGCGAGCTCGTCTACGATGGGAGAGGAAGAAAGTCATCCAGATGGTTCGTCGCAACGGCCGCGTCAGCCGCTCTGAGCGCATCGCCCAGACAGAGAAGGAGCTCCAGCATAAGAGTCCCTTCCTGGAGACCAGCGTCAAGAAACTTGTGCACCTAGCTCGCCAAGTACAGGGCAAGAGTGTGGATGAGGCGATTCTGCAGATGCGATACTCGAAGAAGAAGATGGCCCGGGAGGTCAAGTATCAGCTCGAAGAAGCTCGAGATCTGGCCATCGTCAGCCGCGGCATGGGTCTGGGTAAATCACATGATCCAATCAAGATCGAGACCAAGGACGGCAAAGCTTTGAGAGTCGACAACTCATCGAAGCTCTACGTCGCGGAGTCTTGGGTGGGAAGAGGACCCTGGAGATCCAAGTCGATGGACTACAAGGGACGAGGCAGATTTGGCATCATTCAATCACCGTCAACTAGTAAGTCCCGACCCGGTTCAGGCCCTTTATCGACGTGTATCTTCTTCATATGGGCTGACCAAGCCATTTTTAGGCATTTCTGTCGTGCTGAAGGAGGAGAAGACGAGACTACGCGAGCACAACGAGAGAGAGGCGAAACAAGCGCGGAGGAAGCCCTGGGTCCACTTGCCTGATAGGCCGGTGTCTGCGCAAAGACCCTACTACTCCTGGTAGACACTTTTCACTGTGGCTACAAAACTCCCAGTCTTGATGTCTAAAGTCGATTGGTCGACAGAGCGTGCAACACCACTCTCTGGAATTGTAAGAATATGTACAATGAAAGATGCCATGGAAACCATTACGCCGTATTTTTTCCCGGCTGTAGCCATGATGTCGCATGTGTATGCGAAGCAAATCGAACTCCTAATTGGTATAATCGCGAGCAAGTTAGGCACCACGCTCCACACCGCACCCTACCTACGCCGTACACCAAACAATCGTCAATCGTTAATCATAATGTGCTGCCGGCCGCAACCACCAAACGTCTTGTACACCAGACAGTGTTCTTGTCAAGGCATCTACCACAGCTTGGCCTGGCACAAGTCCAACTACGATCTCCGTGCCATCCCCGTCATGTTGTGACGAGTACTGTTCGGACAAATGAACGAGTGGCGGTGGAGGGTAAAAGGATAAGCCACTCAGATCATCCGTCTCGGGGACTGGCGTGGAACCATATCTTCATACCTTCGAGACCGCATTTCCAGCTCCGAGTAATTCTTGCCAGTCATGCCCACAATGCCGTAGTCTCTCCCAGAGCCTGGCATCGGTCCTGAGATCTGCATGGAACGTGTCCTGTTCTGCGGCCTTCTCACTAAGAGGTAGAGAGCAAGGGCGATTGCAAGGACGCCCACGCCAGCGCCAACGCCAATTCCAATCTTCGCTGGTACTGAGAGGCCTGCAGTATCATTGGAGAGCTTTCCTGAATCGCTCTCTGAGGCGGATCCGGATTGCGTGCCCTGGGAACCTGTCGAGGTCGAAGTAGTTGACTTGGTGGTTGATTTGGTAGATGTTGACTACAAAGATGTAATGTCAGTTGTGTCAGCCTTTCTGCGGCTTCAGGAGGGATTTTACCATAGTTGTGGGCGCAGGAGTTGAGATTTGCGTAGTCTGGGCAACCTCAGAGATCGCCTTGCTTGTTGCATCTGCCGGTGCCGAGTTGACGGGTTGGGACGAGGGTTTCTCTGCGCTGTTTGTTGCGACAGTAGCCGCTGGTTGAGCTGGCTCGGATGATGCTTGGGCTGGTGCGGGCGTGGTAGGTTGTGGCGGCGGCGAGGAAGCCGGCTGGGATGCAGGCGGTTGTGTCGACGCAGGAGGAGCCTGGGTTGCAGCTACGCCGTCATGTTAGTGATCGCGTTGCTTACTCTGTAGATCCAAGGGGCATCATACTTGCACAAAGAGATGTAACGTAATCGTTCACCTTGGTAGCGACGTCGGCGCCGCAAGACTGGGATGCACAGTCACGAACGCCAAACACAAAATCTTGTTGCTTGCAAAGGCAAGAGTTGTCCTGAGATGCGCAGCCAAATCCCTTTGCAATGACAGTGTTGACACATGAGATCTAATTACTTGAGTTAGCTGAAAGTACAAGCATAAGGAACGTGTCATTCCAGTCGACGAGTCTCAGCCACGATCATGCTGAAGAATTGAAGCAGCATTTTCAAGGCTGGGTATGACGTTAAAAAAGGACCTACACCACATGGCGGTAACGAGTCTAGCTGCGCGTGAGCAGCACCGAGAAGAACGACAGAAGCCGTGGCCTGAAGCCAGATACGACGCCTCATGATGGCACGGGGTAGCAGAGGTGAAGTCTGACGAAGGGTATAGAGGAACGAGGGCGTGACGGAGTGTTTGAACGGCTGAGAAATACAGCCTGGCCTGTGGGAAGTGATGAGACACTGGTGTGTGTATGACCAGACCCGTCACAGCGTCACACAGCAGCTCATGGTCTGTCTTGAATCTGAAGTGGTAATCTCGGAGCTGAGCTGCCCAGAGTTGGAGGTGTTGGTGGCGTGTGTGGGCGTCAACGTGGCGAGGCAAGCCCCAAACACGCAGGGGCACGTTTCGAGGAGCCAAGAAAAGAAATAACGAGACAGCAGCTGGCAGTCCAAGTCGAGAGAAGGACGAGCAGGGACAGACGATATCGACAGGTAAGGAGTAGACAGGTGTCTGGAATAATGAACGTCGGTTCAAGTGGTCAGTCGCAAGGCAGTTGTATGTCGAGGGCGGGCGGTCGAATGAGGGACAGACGAGTCAGACCGGGCGAGGAGAGAAGAAGTCTGAGAGAAGCTGGAAGGAGAAGGGCTGGCCAAGACAAGAAACAAAGGCCAAGGCCAGGCGGGAAGAATGGAAAGAGAAGGAAAAGAGGCGCCCGGCGGGGTGGAAGCGAACGTATGTGAAGAAGCACAAGAAGAAGCTAAGAAGAGAAGAACAGAGGCAAGGTTTCGAGAGGGAACAGGGCCAACCGCAGAAAGAGAAGGAGACAGAAGGGAAGAAGCCGGTAAATGAGGCCCAGGAATTGAGAAGGGAGGGCAGAATGGGGATGGAGGGAGGGATATCGACATGTTAAAAAGGAACACTGGAGGAAGGGACTAGACGAGGAGTGGACGGGGGCCGCCTGCGCCTGCGCCGTGCATTCAATTCTCCTTACTTCACCTTCCTTACCTTGCCCACCTCACCTCATCATAATGTACGGTACTAGGTCAGGTATGGTAAGGTAGAATGGTTCACATTTGGGGGCAGGACCTACGTTGGGTAAGGTAGGTAGGTAGGTAGGAAGAACAGACGAAGCCGGGGGCCAGGGGCCTGCCGTCTGGAAAGAGACAGATGGGATGGCAGGGGACACCCGAGCCGACGGGAAGGAAGTGGAGGAAAATCGGAGGTCAGGGGGCAGGGGCGGGGATCATGGACGTAAGGTAGGTAGGTACCTAGGTATGCACACGGCCACAACTTCGCGACCTTACCTACCTAGTAAACCTCACCTTGCGTTCAATACCTTACGGCCTAGTCAAGATATATTGGCGGAGGTGTCAAGTCGATTGTTTCCCCTGCCCTGGACTTGGAGGTGCCCTGTGTGCAACTCCAAGCGCGTCTGCCACTGCCATTGGCACCCGCGTCGCGTCGACGGGCTGATCTTACTACCTAGGTGTAGTTAGGTGTGGTGTTGCTAGGCTTGGTCTTGTCGCGTCAAACGTGTTCTTGAGCGGGCCATCCTCTGGCGGCGGACGGTTGTGTGCGAACCTAGCGAGGTGCCAAAGGGGGCGATAGAGGATCGTGCCGAACACTAGGTAGGTATCTTAAGTAGGTAGGTGAGGTCGACCTGCAGATAGTCTGTTTGAGGTGGGCTGGGTCGGCGTTTACCTTAGGAGGCAATAGGAGAGATGGAGGAGGGCTTTAAGAACAAGTCCTTTTCTCGGAGGGCCAGCGAGTAAGTACTGTACCTAGGTAGGTAGGTATCCATTTCAAATCGGGAAACGGCATGGAAACATTCGACGAGAAAGGAAGGGTCCAACGTGCATAATTTCACCTTGGGTTGGTTCATCCTGCAGCTGAATGTCGCTGCGGCCAGGGCCGAGGTTTCCCATCGCAGACGATCCCGTGACGGTGACGGTCACGATGACTGTCATCGAAGACGATGGGACGGGAGTCCGAGCCCATCCAGAAAAGACTGGACCATGAAGGTGTCCGAGCGATGGGCCAATGTGGACGTGAAGTGAAGGGAGGCAACTTTTAGGGCGACAGGTCAAATTCGGATGGAACACTAGTGTGCAAACCGGGTCTGGATCGGATCTGATCTGAAAGACTCAAAAGTCAAGACCACGCCGCACAGCAAACATACAGAAGATGTCGACAGCATACATACATACCTAGTAGTACGAGGCCGCCGTAAGCGCATAATGTTGGCTCATTTTGCGCACCTTAAGCCGGGCCTCTATAGCACCAGCCGCCCTATCAACGCACGCAATGCCATCCCCAAAAAGCCAGCCGCGCAAGACGAGCCCCGATCTCTAAAACAGGACCCGGTCGACTGTTGAGTAGGGAAGAGACGTCGGGCCCAACCAGCGTGCCGCACTAACCTTGACCAGGGGGCTGGTCCCGTCCTGTTCGTCGCAGCAGCCGCGCCAAGGTAGGTACCTAGGTACCATAGGAGGCGCAGCCAAGGCCCGCTGCTTCCTGTCCATTACCTAAGCACCTAAGGCACCTCATCTACCTATCTAACCTTACCTAGGCACCTTAGGTTCTTAGGTTATCTTCCAACCTGCCTTTTGACGGCAACGGCGACAGCGACAGCGACAGCCACGGCGGGGGCACGCTGCAACGGTGGAATGGAATTCTTATTCAGAATGGATGACCCGACCAGGTAGGTTGCTGGCTGGCTCAGCGGTGCCCTTGCGCTGCCGAAGATGATCTGCACCAGGAACTCGTGTCGTGCCGCCGTAAGCCACCTCTGACACCTATATACCTACCTACCTAGTAAGGTAGGTACGAAAGGTAAGGTAGTCCCTCACCAAAGGTACCTAAGAAGGGGGAAACGTCTCGACAGGCCATGGCCGAAATGCAACAAGTGCGGTCCATCACTGGCAAGTCCATTACCCATGATTCCCGCGTGTAAACGGCAGAAGTGTGCTCTCGTCATCTTCGTCGTCTACAATCGGATGGAAGAGGACAGCTTGGGGCTGGTTAAGGTACCTGAAATGGAAAGCTGGAACATGTTCCACCCGACGTTCCACTGGGCTGCATGAAGGGCGGAAACCCGGGGCGGGAACCCCGTTGCTTCGAATAGATAAGGTACCTTGAGGCCAATCGCAAACCCCTTTTTGCCCTCTGCTCGGTGCGTGAATGGGCTGCACCTTGAGTCGACGACCTACACGCACTCGTCGTCCGATAAAGTTGGTGGTCTCGTATCTAAATGCAAAATGCTTCTCGTACTCCTGCAAGCCGACAGTGGTGTGCGTGTGTCTTCCCGACTAATCATTTCGAGCCTACGTCAACCTTTTGTCGCAGCGTTTGCTACCCGGATCCCTCTGTACCTGAGCATTTGAGCTTTCGAATTTCCAACTGCCGCTTCTTAAGTAGACCACAGGCGGCTTCATGCATGTTCCCCCGTCGGTAGTCGGTAGCCGTCATGGACTCGCTTCGGGCTTCCATCAGTATCGTGCTTTGCTTGCGCGCAAGCTCGAAAACTCGACGCGAACGTATGCCTATGCCTGTACGGATACTGCAGTGCAGCATTGCGGACGCGCTGTCCGATGCCAGCATCCCCGGCGCATGAGGGTGCTGGAGCCAGTGCAACATCAGACTGGGGGCACCGAGGAGGTTGGCAGGGCTGATTAGCGACACCTGCAACGGTCGCCAGCCTTTGAGCCCTATACCATGTCCATCACCATGGGGCTGCCCCCATTTCCGTCTCGAGTTTGATGGCTGAGCCGCTCGGTCAATTTAATTCGTTATGCAACGCGTTTCCTGCTGATGACCGCGGAAAATTTTCTGAAGAACGAGCGCCTCACAACAAACAATTGCTTAAACCGAGAGTCCTTACTTGCAAGTTTGCGTCCGAGCTCGACGACTCACAGGCCACTGCGGTCTGTTGGAATAGGCACGAAGAGTCTTTTGCAAACCTCTGTCGGGCCGGGAGAACACAGAATTTCAGGCACGCCGACCTGGCACATCTGCAATTCAAATGCTCTCCCAAGAAGTGGGTGACTTGGATCAGTCTAGACAAGGCAACATATGAAATGTGCTTCCCTTTAGGTTCCGTGTCAAGTCGATCCTGGGCCGGTGTAGATCCGAAGACCGGAGTCCATTGTTCGGAGCGGCGGGGCCAGCCGGATCGAAGAGCCGCACTTGCTCCGCAACGCCCGAGCTTTGGACGAAGCACGTCTGGAGACTTTCGATTTCCTACCTTATTCTATTTGCGTTATCGGAAATACTCTGGGAAAAATCACCTGGATGATTTTGCTCTCATGCAATAGACAGTCTTTATCACGCTGCAATGCACACCAAGATATCTAGCCTACTATAGGTGCCCAAGCATGCTGTCTCAGCCTCTTCTTTCACTGACTTTAATTTTTGGTCTGTGCCAGAAGACTTTCCAGCTCATATCTTGGGGACGAATGTGTGCTTGTGCGCAACAAAAATGTATGTAGTGAAATGAAAAACATAGCCTTGAAGTTGTTGAGAGAGGAGAAACGTCTTGCGTCGGAAAGCTGGCAATGATGGACGACATTGTGAAGCATTCCTTCCATTCATCTTACCCCCCGTTAACTCAGTTAGGTTGAGGGTCCTGGTTTGGAGCCGGAGCTAGTTCCGGGGCATTCACTCAGGCGTCCATGGACACTTACCATCCGGGTCGGCAGCTTACATAAGGCAAACCGGTCAGAGGTAAGGTACGGATAGGTATGACTTGCCAGTGTCAGTGAATGCGGAGGAGCATGACTAGCTTCATCAAGATACCTACCTACACAACTACCTCTAAGGTAGGCAAAGCGGGAGGAGATGCACAGTGCGGTCGGACGGTGCTGTGTTTTGAGAAGACGGTTCGGCGATAAACCAATGACCTCATGTCGCAGAGAGAGCTAGCGCTGGAGATCTCTCGCGTTACCAATTATAGCCGGCTGCGTCAGTTTTTTTTTTTTTTTTTTTTTTTTTTCACCCCGTCTCCTTTCCCCCCTCCTGGTATGCGGGCAACAAAAGGGGATGGATACGGCAGAGGGAGAAGCATCCATGCAATGGAGTTAGATGATTTCACGTGCGAATACATGAGGAACTGAGTTGTGTCTTGTTCTTATAGAATATAGAACGAACATGCTGGTGCATACGTAGACGCGATGGTTGTCTTGCCCAATCTGAGGTATCAGCTAAGACAAACAAGACAGACTTCAGCCACCAAGGCTTTTGAATGCCTACTTTAAGGTACGATGTCATCCGCCAGATTACCTTAGGGGTTCTGTACACTGCAAATACTTTACAGCGCGCACGTTGAGACGGCGGGGAAGCATGTTGTCGGGGACGGATGCCCTTTAACGCAGAGACATTTATCGACCACCTGGCTAATTCCCCTTCTAGATTCCTGGTGCAGTGGGCATTCCATACTTCACCTGTAGGCGACATTTTACGTACGCATGAAGTAAGGAGAGTCAGTCGGTTGAGCTTCGCTTTGCGGAATACCTCTTGGGAAACCCCACAGGTAGGCTGTACTGCATAGGTAGGTAAGGTAGGTACACTACACTTTGGAATACCTAGGGAACAAATCACAAGCGTCGGTAGGTACAGAGTAGATACCTATCTTAGTAAGGTACCTTGCCTTATGGTTTTCCAAGGACTCAAATCCACCAACCAACCTACGCTGGACCCTCCAACGCCGAAAACGCGCACGTCTGGACCTAGGTAGGTATGGACCGTATCGGGCTTAAGGATACGCACCGTGCAAACCTAAGCCCGATGCCGCCTGAGGCCCCAATCCAATCCCTCTAGCATCGACAGTGGATTCAACCGCCTAGCCTCAAGCAGGTACCTATTGCATCTTCTGAGCCTGTCCGCCCCACGAAGTCTGCTAGGTCGGCTCCAATCCTTACAGCTGCAGATGCCGTATGGTACCGCACCGAACGCCCAGATACTGGCACTGGCGTCGATAACCCGCTCCATACCTTCAGCTTACCTACAGGCCCGGTGCATCTGCTGAGACGGGAGCCTCGCACTACCTGCCTACCTCCTGACCTCACCGGGCGCCTGACGAGAATTGAAAAAAAAAAAAAAAAAAAAAAAAAAAAAAAAAAAAAAAGAAAAGGGAATCAGAGAGAAGGGGAAAATAAGGGCCTGAGGATCGACAAACGGATTGCTTCTTGGGGCCAAGAAGGCTGCCTTCCCAACCTTCACCACCTTTCCACTCACTGCCCCAAGCGCCTAAAGGGCTTCTTACTCCTGCAGTTCCGTCAGGTACCTTTCCTCCTTTGACCCCGTCACCTGCCGTGCAGCATCTACCGCGACCGGGCCCTGTGGTGTTTAGGTTGGTCCAAGTATCAACCGCCTTGCGTCCGTACCACTCTGGCGCAAACCAAATTTCTGCTGGCCACTTTCCCCCCCCGGCAATCCCTTCCCCCTGTCTTACCGCGAATCCATCAACGGTGCGTCTGGTCGAGTCAACAAGTCAATACCGCATCTGGTATTGCTTCATTGACCTGTCGCATCGCCGTCACCATCTCCTGAACATTGTCGCCCTCGACGGAAACCTTCCGATCATCACTCCGCGTTGCACCCACCTACCCACCGACCCGATCGCGACTCTGTTCGGCGCCTGCCCTTCGTCACGCACGCAGCTCGCTTCAATTAAGCCCCCAAGCCGACGGGAAACAAGGAAGCAATAGGCAACAGACAAGTTCAGATTGCCATCGCCGCGTCTCCCATGGTTCGTCTGTTGACGGCCGCCCGATTGCAGCAAGATGGCGACCCTGCCGGTAGGGGAGGACAAATGGGTGGACTACGTCGCTGAGAACAGGAGACACGCCAACGACCTGGAAAAGCGCGTTCACGTAATCGAATTGTTCAAGCTCGCCATCGAGGCAGAGCCCAACAGCGTCAGGGTTTGGCGCGCATACTGCGAATACTTTTGGTCCCTGTACGTTGACAGTCAGACCCCCGAATCCGGATGGACCGACGAGGAACGCCTTATGGGCCGCGAGCTCTTCTCTCTCAACGCCGCCCTCAGCCTTTGGCAGCAAGGTTACGAATCCATCCAGTATCGCATCAACGACAGCCATGAACTGTGGAATCAATGGATCTCTCTTGAACGCGCCATGCTTGCCGGCACACGCACCGCCGAGGGCATCCGGCGCATTACCTTCCTCTATACCGATCGCCTCCAAGTTCCTCACGTTACCCGCGACGATACTGCGCAAGCCTTTTCCGAGTTCCTTTCCACCTATAACAAAGCTGCCTGGGAGGAGACCATGCAAGCTGTTACCGCCAAGTCACAGGAGGCCAAGAAGCTCACCGAGGATCGCGACATGTTCGAGCTGAAGCTCAGACAGGCTCGCCAAGAGGGAAAGGAAGACGTTTACCGCGCTCTGATGAAAGAATATCTGGAATGGGAATGTAATCAGAGCAAGAGAAGCAACAAACACGCCGAGGCTACTGGTGACCTTTGCAGAGGCCTCTACGCAAGAGCTTTGACAGGGGTTTTCGCTTTTGACGACACCATCTGGAACGAGTACGTTCGATTTCTCTCCACATCTGGCACTTACGCTCAGTCGCCTCAGGGCATGGTTGACGTCTTACGGCGAGCCGTGGACCATTGCCCTTGGTCTGGTACCATCTGGTCCCGGTACATTTTGACTGCAGAAGATGCCAGACTGCCTTTCAACGAGATCGAACAAATCAAGCACAAGGCCACCAGCAATCCCGAGCTCTATAAGAACGGCATGGCCGCTCTCCTTGACATGTATGCTGCGTGGTGTGGTTTCCTCAAACGAAAAGCCATGGATCTCAACGCAACCGACGAGGACGTTGATGTAGCCGACATGGGCTTGCGTGCCGCCCTCGAATTCGTCGATCAAGCCAAGAACCGATATGGCGATAGCTACAGAGGCGATCCCAACTTCCGTTTGGAGCGGATTTACATCCAATATCTGACTGAGAAGAAGCGCAATTTGGATGAGGCGAGAGGTCTCTGGCACAAGCTGGCTGAAAAGCAGCTGTACGCTGATAGCTACGACTTCTGGTTGAACTACTACCTCTGGGAAATGATGGTATTTGCTTCCAGTGGCAAGGATCGCAGCCCGACCCCTTCGACGGCTGCGATAGGTCTGCGAGTGCCATCTGTGGCTACGGCGGTGCTCGGCAGGGCAATAAAGAGAAAGACTCTGGACTGGCCCGAAAGAGTCATTGACGTGTATGTGCAGCATTGCAACGACTACGAGCTGCCTAGCACGGTACGCAACGCTATCGATACCGTTTACGAAACGCGCAAGGAGGTTGCGAAGCGGAGAGAGAGAGAGGCCGCGCAAGCGGCGGAATACTATGCGGCCGCCCAGGCGCAGGAACAACAGGCTGCTCACGCAGCCCAATCGGCAGATGACGATTCGTCCTCTAGCTCCAAGAGAAAGCGAGACGACGAGACTGAGACAGTCGACGCGACGGCGAACAAGAGACCCAAGAACGATGCCGCCGAGGCAGAGGCTACGGCGCTGAAGCAGCAGCAGAGCCTGAAGAGAGATCGGGAGAACACGTCGGTCCTGGTTAGCAGACTTCCAAGTGAAACCACAAAAACCAAAATACGGCAGTATTTCAAAGAGTATGGCCACATCGTCGAAGTTACGGATCCCGCTATTGACCCTCAAGACAACACCCAGACCGTCATGGTAGAGTTCAGGACACCGGAGGAGGCGCAATCGGCACTTCTCAGAGACGGGAAGTACTTTGGCACAGCCCAGATCAGCGTCGAGCCTGGCACTGATTTGACGCTGTATGTCACGAACTACCCCCCTACCGCGGACAAAACGTATCTCAGCAAGCTCTTCCAGGACTGCGGCGAAGTCTTAAGCATCAGAATGCCCAGCCTAAAAGGCAACGTCCGCCGAAGATTCTGTTATGTGACGTTTCGCGACCGAGCCGCCTCTGCCAAAGCTTCTGAAATGAATGGCATTCTTCTCGATGGCAGGTTCAAATTGGTGGCGATGTACTCTGATCCCTCGCGGGCAAAGAAGCGTGAAGGCGCTGTTGAAGAGGGTCGTGAGCTCCACATCACTGGCCTTGACCCGGCAGCAATCGAGGAGGACATTGAAAAAGTGTTTTCCAAGTATGGTACTGTCAAGCGCACCAACATCCCGAGGAACAAGGGTGGCAAGGCCCACGGAGTGGCTTACGTCGAGATGGAGACCAAGGCGCAGGCTGAGGCTGCTGCGTCCGAGTTGGACAAAGCCAAGCTACGCAACAGCATCATGTCCGTGCAAATTTCGACACCCAGCAACTTCAAGAGGACGGCAATTGCCTCAAAAGAGGACGCATCCCCCGCACCAAGCCGGGACAACGAAGGGGACGAGACTATGACGGACAGCAACGGCGACTCACGTCAAGTTGGCCCCAACCGAGCTGAGATTGCCTCGCGGACGATTGCCCTCCTCGACATCCCCGACACGGTCAATGACGCACGTATCAAGGAAATTGTTGAGCAAAAAGTTGGGGGCTTCAAAAGTCTCGTTTTACAGCCCAGCCACGGCGGTGCCAAGATCGAGTTCGAGGACGCGGCCAGCGCGGGCCGCGCTGCCCTTCAACTTGACGGTTACATCCTGGATGGCCGTAGATTGCGAACGGGAACCGTCGAAGAGTTGAAGCAATCCAAAGGGGAGATTCGCACTGACAAGATCGTTTATGGTACAGGGGGGAAGAAGCAGAGCGACAAGCCCTCCACCTCTAAAACCACCGGAGCGACCTTGATTCCGCCGTCCACGACTGTCAGGCGTCCGGTTCTGGGCAGGGGTGGTGCCAAACGAGGATTGGGATTTCTTCCGAAAGCGGTGGCTGTGGGAGGCGCAGGTGGGAATGGAAAGCCGCAGCAGCAGTCTGATACCAAGGTGAACGGTGCTAGTGTTGGAGAGGGGGAGACACGGAAACCGATGAAGAGCAACGCCGACTTCAAGGCAATGATACTGGGATCTAATGCGACCAAAGAAGATGGTGAGGGGAGGAACGGTAACGGGCAGGCTGGGGAAGGCCAGCACTAATACTTACGGCGTCCGGCGGAATGGGAATGTAACTCTCTTGTTGCATTTGGGCGCACGGTACCCTCCCCTGCCTTGCTCAATTCATGACACCGGGGGCTAGTGCCCGGTGTATACCAGCCATCTGCTGTCTTTAGCTTATATATTGCAGCTACCCACCCAGGGACGGCCAACGCAGAGTGTAATTGTTATGATTCTTGCATTGTATCTTTACCAGTTCGTCTATGAGGTCTATCGACTGTGACATGATGCCAATCATGAGCCTCTCCTTTGAGAGGAGAAGAGCTTTATGGCAAGGGCCTTTCTACCTCGTGCATGATTCTCATTCCTTGATCCCACAACACGTTTACAGCCAACAGTATCTAGCTGCCCACACATCATTTGGGGGCAGACACATGCCAGCACCTTCCAATCCTTGTGCCTCTCCAGCTATCCATCCCATTAAGTAACCTCTCCTGTATCCACAGAGACTTCCTCACCGGCCTAGCGTTGTGGATTTTCTAGGCACCATCTACCAATGTGCATACTATGCCTTGGTCACGGGGGTGTTACCGTTGTCCTTGTTCGCGTCTTGTGAGAATATCTTTTGCCAAATGGCCAGCCAGCGCTCATGTTGGGCAGTTGGCAACTTTCCTGGTTGCTTAAATGAACGTGTGAGGAGCTCCCGAAGCCGTGTGCGCAGTACTTTGACGACGAGCATGGTCTTCCAGTCAGGAAGGGCAAATCTACAGCGATTGCCATCCAGGACAAGCACACCAGAAAACATCTACTCAGGTTAGATTGGCTATAATCACAGGAGGTACTGCAGGGAGGCGACTCACATCAGCTCTTACATCACCACAAAGGAGAGCAATGGCAAAGGGATCAGCTGCTGTGGTTTCATGCGCGTGGTAGACACTGTTTGAACTTGTTAGTCTATGCTCGTCGGGCTATTTGGAGAAAGGGGCTCTACCTCTTTGACTGCATTATGTGGTAGTATGACATCCACTTGATCTCATTATGGCCTTTGTTGACTGAGGATGGATGCAGACTGATGGATTGGTTGTTGCCAACATTTCGCAGGCCTCGGCTGCCTGGGTTGTCACGCACCAGAAGTTTGGGGTAGAAACTCCAAGCAATGACCGCTGTTGTGATAGCGTCGTTTTCGCTGTTGTTATTGACTCTGTGGGGGATATCAAAGAAGTTCTGATGGCGTCGGCCCCGCGAGTTTGCTCCGTACCGCAGTCGGTTCAGTGCCCTTCTCTCATCGTCTGTCAGCTGCAAGAAGCCAGAGTCTGCGACCGAAACCAGGAGTTGGCCTTTCAGATCTTCAATGTTTGCAAGTGTTTGCTGGCTAAGAAAATTTTTGCGACAAAACTGGAAGTCTTTGCCGCCAGACGCACTCGTCGACTGGCAGACTCGCTTCCAGGCAAGGTAGGCGTTATATATGGTCAAGAGATCCGAGTCGCCTCTGCGGAATCCCATTCTCACAATATCTGCCTGCGCCCGCTGGCCAAATGGCGCCGAGAAAGGCGTCTTCGAGGATAGAATAGCCGCCACGGTGATGGCCATGTCCAGGCACTTGAAGATGGCGCCCATAAGAATTAGCTTTCCCAGAAACACGTCGAGAGGAAGTCGCGCGAGCTGGTGACCGAGCGGAGTCAGGTCCTCTGCGGGGGTCAAGGCTCGCACATCAATGAGTGCGTCCACAGCACGGCGGATGTTTTTGGCTGACGGAGGGTCCAGAGCCTCGCTCAGCGTCTCCTCGATGCCGCCGATCTTGCAAATCTTGACGCGGATGGCGAGGTCTTGGAGTGATAGTCGAAGCATTTCTGGTGTTTGCTGGTCGCTCATGAGCGAGTCGTGCCTGTGCTTCGTGAAAAGGTGGAAGCAGAGTCCCTCCTGGACACGACCGGCCCTGCCACGTCGCTGCTTGGCGTTCGCTCGGGAGATGAAGGTGTCGATGAGCCGCGAGAGCTGTCTTCTCTCGTCGAATCTCATCTCACGATGCTTGCCGGTATCGATGACGCAGGTAACGTCTGGGATTGTAATGCCAGTTTCAGCGATGTTGGTGGCGAGGACAACCTTGCGAAAACCAGGAGGAGGGACAAGAAAGGCAGCTTCTTGATCCTCGGTTGCAATGGTTGAATGAAGAGGGTAGATCAACCAGTTGGAGGCGAACGAGGGGTCGCCGGATAGGAGGTCGTTCAAAGTTCTAATCTCGGCGATACCGGGCAGGAAAACCAGAATAGCTTTGCTGTACGCTGTATACTCTGTGTCAGATGCTACTTTGGCGATGAGCTGCACGATAAGGTCGAAGTCGATCCGGTACTCGTCCATCTGGGCGAGAGTTGACCTTGTCTTTGCGGAATAGGCTGAGAGGTCGGCCCCAGACGTAGACTTGGGCGTGTCGGTGTCTACATCTACCATGTCGTCGTCTAGGTCGATCATCTTTTCCTGGTTGGTCTGCCCAACCATGTAGCCGGTCGTCTCGATGGCATCCTCTAAGTAGCAGACCTGCACGGGAAAAGTTCGCCCTGGCACAGTCAATACTGGTGCTCCACCGAGATATTTGGAGAAGCGCTCCGCGTCGACTGTAGCCGACATCAGAACCACCTTCAAATCCTTTCGCCTCAACAGGAGCTTCTTGAGGATGATCAACAAGAAATCGCTGTCGATAGACCTCTCGTGGACTTCATCGAGCACGAGGTGGGTAACCTCTCGCAAGTCATTTGAGCCTTCCAGCATACGCATGACTATGCCAGTGGTCGCATACACCAGGCGTGTCTCTCGAGACGTGTTCGCCTCCAGTCGAATGGAATAGCCAACCAGGGACCTGTTTGTTCCCACATCACCTCGGTTTTCTCCTAGCTCCTCGCTGACGCGCTTGGCCAACGAGATGGCCGAGATACGACGTGGCTCGGTGCAGTAAATCTTGCATGGTTTGCCCTGGGATAGTTGGTGCTCCAGCAGGAACGCTGGCGTCTGCGTACTTTTTCCACAGCCCGTCTCGCCGCAAATGATGACCACTTGCTCTCTGTCGACGGCGTCGGTGACCTGCTGCTTGAAGTTCCACATGGGAAGCTGCATGCGAGACTGGAGCATGGCCTGATATCTGGGGGTGCTGCTCTTCCGAGACCAAATGTTCTGGTAGTACTCTGGGCCACCAGAGAGGCGCTTGGCTGCCTCCAGGCCAGCTTCGTCTCTGTTGTCATTCCCACTTCTACCAGCGCCCCGGCCCTTGAAAGCACCTTGGATGATGACTCCGTCTTCAAGTTCCTGATCTTGCCTTTGGCGCACAAGACTTCTTAGCTCCCGGATGGCGTCTCGGTCCTTGGAGTCCAGGAGGCTCTTCCTGGTGTCGGCGAGCTCATCCCATAGCTCACGCCAGACAGCAGGAAGTCTCATGCCGACCTTCTCCTCCTTGGCCGACGTGCCAAACACGTGAAACAGTGCCCAGGTTGCAATGAAGGCCTCTGACTGCTTGTTGTCCGGTGTGGCAATTGATTTCATGCTGAAGTTGAAGCTGGTCGGGTAAGCGATGGTCTCTACGCCATCGTCCTGAGATTGCGGGAGGGAGCCCTGGGGTTTGGCCCAGGACACGGAAACAGAGTGACGGTTGGCAAAAGGTACTTCCGAAATAAGTCGGTACGTAATCTTTACCGAGGCGTCCCTGTAATTCTGTTAGCTTATTGTAGCCTTCGAAGCATGTCCCGGAATACACACCTAGCTCTGCAAGCTTCCTCGAGGGCCCTCATGGGGGTGACGCCAGTCCATTTTCCAAAATCCCGGATCGTAATCTTCACGCCGTCTGTGCCGTTGACCACGGTACTTGACTTTCCAGTGGCATCGACCTCAGTCACAGGCAGGTTGGCAAAAAGATCAGCAAGGGCGTCGTCGCCGTCATCGTCGCTGCCTCCCTCGGCGAGAATTTCGGCTGCGATGCGGGTGGCCTCATCGTTGACGTCTCCGTCAGATGACACAGCAGGCTGCTCGGTGTCCGTTCCAGGCTCCTTCGCATCTTCTTCCTGTGCGTTTTGTTTTCTCGCATCTGCAAGCTCTCTCTCCAGGACGATCTTTTGAGCCTTCCATTGCTGCTCAGCCGGAAATTTGTCAAACAATACGTCCTTTTCAATTCTGTCAAGTTTCGCACGAAGCTTGGCCTTCTTCTCATCGTCCTCGTTCCCGCTGCCATTACTGTTCTTCTGCCTCTTTCTTCCTTGCTGGTTCCGTTCAAATTCGAACAGCTTGGCCTTTGTTTCGAGGTAGGCGGGTAGTAGGTCGTCAGGTTCGATGTCGCTGTCGCACACCACCGCAACCCTCTTCTTCTGAGCCACTTGAGTCCCTTTCTTGGATGTTATAGCAGGTTTCTGGCGACTGTCGGGCTCCAATACTCTAGGTGTAGTTGCACCCGAAGGCAGAGGGCTTTCAGCAGGCGTATCTGAAAATTCCTGTTAGCTTGATTTCCATCGAGACTGTGAGCTTTGGGTTCCTCATTCACCCAAAGGCTTGTTGCCATGTCTTCCCCGACCATCGTAGTCGGGTAACTCGTCAGTTGGGCATTCTCTAGCCAGCCAGTCAAGGGCTTCTTCCAGTCCCCACAAACTGTCTTTGGCGATGGCAGGTATATTGGGAGCAATGTCCAAGATATAACGCATGACGGACTGGACGCGATCTTCTGGAAAGCCGACGCTGCCGAGGGTCTGTTGTAGGGTCCAGAGCTTGATGGTCATATCTTCCTCCGGCAGCATCTTGCCGCTGGCAGCACTTTCCGTGGATACGCTAGAAGAAGCAAAACGGCTTTCGGCTTGGATGAGGTCCAAGATCTGATCCATAAGCTCTTGGGGCAACCACTTCCTAGAATTGATGGAGTCGGCCTGGCTTCTGAGCAGTCGCCGATCAGTTTCAAGCCGTGTACGCTGACGCTGAGCATCCCTCTTGGTCTTCTGAGCGTATTTGTCAACAAGCAACTGCAATTCATCTTCTTCAAGCTGCTTTTCATATTCTTCCGGGCTCAAGGTCTT